ATTACAGCATTACTGTTAATATGGATGCAATAATAAAAACTGGATTTGAGAAAGTAAATCGCCAAATAATTTTTCAACCAAGCACTGAGTCAAAGGACAAAGCTTTAGTAGTAGTAGTAATTTTTTGTTGTATTTTTACAATTTATAACACAGCATTTACTAAATCCCATTTTCTTCACTAACAGAAGGTATAAATAAACAAACAAATATGAAATATGACAATTTGACAATTGACAATGTAAATTTATGAAATCTATGAAATGTGCAGTAAAAAATGCAAGATTTCTCCGCCACTCGCGCATGATAGTTTCTCGTATCACATCCAAATACTTGCACGTCGCCAATACTATTAGCTAGTATCACGAAGACATGGTTTATGTAAATCATCTGAGTGAAGATTAGCCGTTATATGCGAGTAGATTAATATACTTTGTGCACGACAGCCAAATAAATTTATCCAAATTTTGGTAACACTTTTTTTTTCATGAAAATATTTAAACTGCTTAATATACAAAACACAGTTAAGAAATTAAATACTAAATAAACTCAAAACTAAAAATAAATTAATCAGCTTTATTTATTGATTATGGTGACGTTTGCGCTTTCATATTGGTGTAAAGTGAATAATAATACCTTTTATTTACTATCTGACGTTAACCAATGAAAATGCTTCTATTCAATATCTGATACTTCTCTATTAGAGTCGTGACTTATTCATGTCAATGTCTGATCTGACATAAACAAATTTCTAATGAATCCTTAAAAAGTAGTATTACCTAATTTAAGTGTAATGGATTTTAAATTTGTTTATATATGTAACTAATTCTAATTGCTTATGCTTACCAAGAAATGTATATCCCTAAAAGTTTAATTTATATAAACTTTTTATACCTCTAGAAAGGTGATGCCGCCATCATGTGACACTATAGTCAGTTTTAAGGAATCTTTTTTTTCTAATAATATGTTCATTGAAAATATCCTACGAAAATAAGAACTTTGATTATTTGGTAAGCCTACATTATACACATCACAACAAGAAATTAAACAAAAATCATTCAAAAATGATGGTTAATAACTTTACTGTATCAATACGATATATTCAGCAGTTCGGACTGATACAACATAGCAGTAAAATGTTATATATAAGGATGTAAAAGTTATTTCCGCTTACCTGGTCCACTATTAATTAAATTATCAGAATTTAATCCCAAACCGGCTACGGTAAATGATCTTTACTTTAGTACAAAGAACAGTCTAACTAATTGAGACAAACATTCCATGTCACCAAAGAAGGGAACAACTATTTTGTCAGTGGAAAAGATTATGACGTATTTCGGAGTTAAAGTGGATTTTCACAGGTCCGATATCCGATGGTACGATATAAATTTCAGCGAATTTCATTGGTTGAAAAATGACAGGCGGGATTTTCGTACGAAATTAAAAGTCATCGGAAGAAGTTAAAAATATTTTAACTTTTGCACGAAAATCGGATGAATTTTGACATTGTTGACATTTTGAGTTGAACCTTACTTTTGTGGAGTGTTTATGTTTACTATTTGAAATATATTTAAAATGGAACAAAGACCTAATTATTATATAAAAATGCAATGAATAAAGTGTTGCTTTTGTGTCTTCTACACTATGTGAGGCAAAAACGACGACAAAGTAGCTCAATATAATATATATTTTATCAAACAAAACAGTTTGATACATTTATTGATAGTTAATTGAAATAAATATCAATCGATCCAATAATCTCACACATAACACACACATATATATATATATATATATATATATATATAATATATATATATTAATATATATATATATATATATGTGTGTGTGTTATGTGTGAGATTATTGGATCGATTGATATTTATTTCAATTAACTATCAATAAATATATATATATATATATATATATATATATATATATATATATATATAATATATATATATATATATATATATATAATATATATATATATATATATATATATATATATTACATATATGTCAAAAAATTTCGGATACGACAATCAAATATATTCGTACGAAAAAATTTCGTATTTCGTGTCATCGGATATCGGATCTGTGAAAATCCAGCTTTATTTGTGACAATATCTTGGCCAATTGTTTAAGAGACGTGAAAACAATTCATGACAGTATCATGTCAATTTATTAGAATGACTTTCCAACATAATCAAGGAAAAAGGGTCTCATTGATACAGAAGAAAGTGCTTCTCCTACAAAATAAAGCTTCTCCAAAATTTTTTAATTGAAAAAACCCAAATTATTAAATTGTGTTTTGAATGATACAGTAATACGGTAGCATTATGATACATTGAAAAGGAGACATATATCTCTTATAATGATACAAGTGAGTACTATTAATCTTATTCCAAAGTTGGTATATTTATCTTGTTTGGGCCCAAAATACGATAAAGTTATAAAGTTAATTTCTGTATAAAAACGCATGCTAAAGGACAACCAATCCGACATTGGCTTAAATTGATATTAAGATAATTTATTAATCTTTATTAGGTAAACTTACATTATAGTAAACAAGAGGAAAATAAAAAATTCGCTTATAGCATCATCCTATACGTGACATTACATGAAGCATTCGGAGAATCTAGGAAAATCAGCCCGTTACTCTCCAGATACACATACACATCAAATTTTATTCACGATCTGTGTCTCATCTATAGTCACAAAACGTATACTTAAACTAAACAGATATTTCATCATTTTACAGAAACCAAATGTAACCGTTCGTTTTATTTTTTATTATTAAAATAATGAATGTGTTGCTTGTGGTGCGTCATTTCAAATAGGTAAAAGAAATAATAAATAAGACTTACTCACAATCAGTTTAATTTACCTATCTAGACGACCGGTTTCGCTTTCTACAATATGCAAAGCATCTTCAGGTCTCGATACAAAGTTAATTAAATGCTGAAATAATAAAACCCATATTAGGGTGTTGTTTTATAAAGATAAACAAAGATAAATGATATAAATTACAGTAATTATGCCAATATTACATGTCTGTGGATTTTCAAAATTAAACTGTTTAATCAGACAAGTTAAGACCCACAAATTGATATAAAAATAGTCTGTTGGAGTATATATATTATTATAATTTATATTATTATTACAACTATACCAATTTGTGGGTTTACATTGTCTGCTTAAACTGCTAAACAGTTTATTCATTTTGAAAAGCCACAGACATGTAATATTGGCATAATTACTATAATTTATATCATTTATCTTTGTTTATTTTTATAAGACAAGACCCTAATATGGGTTTTATTATTTCAGCATTTAATTAACTTTGTATCGAGGCCTGAAGATGCTTTGCATATTGTAGAAAGCGAAACCGGTCGTCTAGATAATTAAATTAAACTTATTGTAAGTCTTATTGATTATTTCTTTTACCTATTTTTATTATTAGTTTAATTGTTACGATGGACGAGTTCTTCTTCTTCTTAACGTGCCCCATCCCTAAGGACATTGGCGATCATCATGGCGCATTCGACTCTATCTGCAGCCGTTCTGAAAAGTTCGTTTGACGTTTTCCCACTTCATTGTCTCAGATTCTTCAACCAGGACGTGCGTTTTCTCCCCGGTCCTCTTCTGCCTTCCACCTTCCTTTGTATGACAAGCCGCATCAATTCGTATTTCTCGGTTCTTAGTACGTATCCAAAGTAGCTCATTTTTCTTTTCTTTATAGTGTTGAGTATTTCCTTGTCTTTTGTCATTCTTAGTAGCGTTTCCGCATTTGTTATGTGTTGTGTCCAAGATATTTTCCACATTCTTCGACGGACGATGGACGACTTTCAAATCATATTATAATATAAAAGTAATTGACAATAACCAAAAGGTCAAGAAGTTGTCGACAATAACCTCAGGGTTTAAGGAACCATTCGTTAGCTTCAGTGTAGAACTCATCAATTAAAAATTACCAAAGCGGTGATCGTCAATAAACAAAGAGTCGGAGAGCATGAAAGAGTTCACGAAATCATCATAAATGACCAAAAGGTGGTCAGGAGTATCACTGTGTATGGTTGGTGCAGAAGTCGCTGCTTATCATTTTATTTCTTCTTCATTTCATCAAAGTTGTAGATGTTAATGCTGTTTGAAATTTAAGTTAGAAAAAAGTTGAGAAATAAATTTGTTAGTGGGAAAAAACTTTGCATCGCAAAAGAGAACCTTCGTCTTGTAAAAATTTTTAGACCTGTATGATTGATTGGAGTCCAGCTTCTGATCATTTATGAGCAATTCTTTACTGATCCTCTGCTCATTGATAATAATGTCTTTGAACCATGTAGCATTATGTGGACAAGGGGTAATCAAGACATAAGCGATGGGTTCTGCTCTGAAACTGCCGAGTAGGTACTACCTAAATCCTAGTGCCTTTGTCAACAATTTCTTGTACGACTTTAAGTACACTCTGACAATTGTCGATTACTTCTGGGAAACTCTCTTAGAGGGAAACACCCTCTGGTCATTGTCGATAACTTCTTGAGATTTTATTAACGTAGAGGTTATGAGAGAAAACCTCTGGCCCCTATCATCAGACAACCTGATTGCATGGTTACCAAAGTCATCCAGTAGTCCGCTTGGTCTACTACCTACATTTTCACAAAAGTATCAAAAGTTAAAATTATGTATTGTCAAAGTCCGAAACTGTTCAGCCAGAATTTACCCAGAAACTGAATCAACTGATGTCAACACTTGAACTGCATGTCATAGTTATATCTGAACACATTTTGCCCATATATGAACATAGTTTGTGGGTATTGGTCTATACCACTAATGGAACACACAATTTGTGGAAAATCTATATAACATTTGTAAAGTAATCCAACTGTTACAATATAATTATGTCATCGTTTAACACAAAAACATCTACAAATTTACATTGATATAAATATTAATTGAGCTATATTAAATGATGTAATTTATCTAATTTACCTCTATTTGTTTCAGAAACTAAAATCTCAAGTTGCCGTCGTCCTCAGACAGTTAAGTGATAGTTCAACGGACCTCAAAGCTGTACTTGCAGCGAAAATACCAAAGGAACAAGAACGGGTCAAGAATTTCCGTAAGCAACATGGAGGTTCTAAAGTCGGTGAAGTTACCGTTGACATGGTAAGTATAAAGATAGTTCTTTTATATGTCAGAGGAATTTGAACACGTTAGGCAAATTAATTGATTTATTATGAATATTTCCTTCAGAAAACGTCTCAACCAAATTAACATTGTCTATTGTTGGAATTTAGTTCTATTTATCAATGGTGCATTACCCTAAAGAAATTGTCAAACAGATGTCTTTTCTATTGCGCATCTCCCCCGTATCCAATGCTACTCTCATTTATCTTGTCTCACTATAAATATTGTATTTATATGAGTTTAAACCACAATTGATTGTAATGAGAATTGCATTATAACCGAGCATATAAATTGCATTGCTTTATGCAACCGAGCAAATGATAGAGTTACTCTTAAAGAGACTTATGGCTTTCTATGAGGCCAAAAGGTTACTGAAGGATTGGAAGTTTGGAATGGCGAGAAGAGCTAAGATTTAGAGCCCTGCTGATTCTAGCAGATATGGAAGCCCGGAGCTGCCTGGACCGCAGAAAAGCCCTAGACCAGTTCCTTATGGGCCTAGTCCGTATGATAGGGGTGATACAACAGATCTTTGTTAGAAGGTTTAAGTGTCCGAAGGGCTCAAAAATCGACACTGTCCCGATCTACCATATCCATAACCATAATAATCCCATTCAAATTGAAATACCCTTATAATAAACGCCTTCGCAGAAATTGTCTAAAAAATTTGGTATATATAAATAGGTGGATTGTTCTTTTTCCTTAAGTTCCCAAATACCATAAGTTTTTTTATTTTTGTTTTTTATTTTTTCATTGGTAGCAATTTTTCTAGTGTATACATGTGGTATAAGCATGTTCCACCTATCGTAAACTCTTTTTGGTCTTCAATTATTTTGTTATTTGTCACTGTTTTTATATTATTTCTCATTATCGTTCGTATTATGATTTACCATTATTCCTCGGTAAACATCTTATTGGTTTCTGTCGCCTTTCTTAAATATTGATTTTTATGTATTCTTCTACATTCGTTTTTTAACTGTTTTTACTATATATTTACTACTGTCAACATAAATATTACGAAAATGCAATGTATTTATTAAGTGACTTTATTATTATATGAAATTTAAATATAACTCAAAAGCAGCTACAAAAAATATCGTTCTGATAATGAATGAAGTGCTTATAAATCAGCTTGTCTGGTGATGATCCAAAGTTGTTTTTCGTTTCGTTCTCGAAGTATATTTAGCTTAGTAGTTGTAAATTGTGTTTTCAATTATTTATGTGATAATCTAAAGCATTTTTATTTATGGGTGATCACAGGATTATTTACACTGTGGTTGTAAAATTATTAAATTGGAAATACTTTAAAATTACTGAACGTAAATAATAAAAATATTACCAAAGACAGGAGGATAATATGAGATAATAATTAACATTTCAGTTGCCAAGATATAGTAGAATTTCTCGAGAGGTTCTGTGGTACAAATTGAATAAGAGCTCCAGGTGAATATGTTTGGATTGTGGACATATATGAGGAAGTAGCAACTAGTGTTGGGACAGGTTTTAGAGATTTACATATTTCACGGTGGTCTCGGTTCCTAGTACTTGTTTATTCTCATTAGTGTTAGATCAGAAAAAAAGGAAACTACAGGGTAATATTCTCTGATGCTTAATGCTGATGATGTGTATGTAGGAAATACTGAAAAGGGCTTAGAACAAAAAGAAGATTTTGAAATGTTCATTTAAATATGGAGTTACCACTATGAATAAAATGGTAGCTTGGGATAGTGAAATTATTGTCACAATTCATAGTTTTACGATCGGTATTACAGAGTAATGGAGAAATAGATGGAAATACATGCAGTAGAGTTAGAGCGGGATGGATTATGTGGAAGTAAGCAAGTGGTGTGTTGTGAACAGTAATATTTCGGTGAAACTGAAAATTCTACAACTGAACTAGCTATGTTGTACGAACCTAAATATTGGGAGGTTAAAAAAAGAGACAAGAACAACGAATTCCATGAGACGAAAATGAGAATGCTTAAATGGATAAGTCTTCTTATTATAATGACGCTTTAACTCTTTGTGGGTCTTGGCTTTCGTAACAACGTTCTTCCATTCTGTCTGTCGAATACTTTCCTTCGCCACTGCTTGATGTTCATGGTTTTAAGATATTCTCTACATCGTCTATCCATCTTTTACGGAGCCTTTCTCTTGTCCTATTTGCTTGAGGTTTCCATATTTGGATTACTTTTACACCTCGATTATCTGGCATTCTTTCCAAGTGGCCAAACCAGTTTAGTTTTTGAGACTTTACAAATCTAACTATCTCTGCGCTCTGCAATAATTCATCCAGCTCATAGTTCATTTTTATTCTTTACGAACAATGGAACGAAATGGAACATGATTTTTACGGTCTGCAAAAGGAAATATGGCGCTTCATAAGAGGTCAAAGAACGGAGGTAAAAGAACCAATAGAACCAAAACACATAGAAAAGGACACGTGGATTGACTACCTAAAAAAGCTCTATGCAGAGGAAGAACACTAGAACCGGAAACACTTAATATAAATGTACAGGAACTTCGGAAAATGCTTGAAAACCTGAAGAACAGAAAAGCAGTAGGTAAAGACGGGATACCAAAAGAATTAAAAAATATTGTGGAGCAGAAATGACGAAACAATTAACAACATTAATTAATAAACTTATAAAACACAATAAAATACTGAAAGAATGGAGAACGAGCGAACTAATTCTACTATTTAAAAAATGAGATAAAAAACAGCCAGAAAACTTGAGGTATAAACTTGTTAAATAGTACGCTAAAACTTACAACTATAAGTGCTAATAAATCAGACAATAAATTTAGCAGATGAACAACAGTGTTTTCCTAGTGTAAGCTTCTGTACAGATATAATATTCGTTATAAATCAAATTACTGAGAAATCACTAGAGTATAATAGACCAGCATTTCTGTATCTAATTGACTTAAAGAAAGCGTTTGACAGAGTAAGACTTCCAGAGTAAGATGTAATCCATCTTTTGTACAATAGAGAAGCTCCCTTAAATATAAAAACTATCGAAAACATCTACCAAATCAACAAAATGGACAAATGTGAGAATCGATGGACAGCTTACAGAACCTATAGAAATTGGCAGCGGAATAAATCAAGGAGTTTCATTGAGCTCTACGCTCTTCAATCTGATCATGGATGAAATCATTAAAAGCGTTAACAAAGGAAGAGGATACGGAATGGGAAACAAAGAAATAAAAATACTTTGTTACGCAGACGACGCAATATTGATAGACCAAGATGAAGATGGATCTACAAAGACTGGTCCACAAATTTAACATAAGAGCAAAAGAATTTAATATGACAATGTCATCTCAGAAAACTAACACAATAGTAGTCAGCAAAGAACCAACCAGATGTAAAATAGAAATTGATGTTATCAGTATTGAACAAGTAATGGAAATAAAATACCTGAGAATTACACTGTCTAGCTATGGAGACCTGGACAAAGAAGTGAGAGATCAAGTACAACAAGCACATAGATTGGCAGGATGCCTTAATAAAACTATATGGCGAAACAGACACATTAACACTGAGATGAACTCAAGAATTTATAAAGCCAGTGTAAGACCAATAATGACATATGCCTCAGAAACAAGACCCAACAGTCCCGACACAGCTACAACGCATAAGGCTACTGGAAACCACAGAGATAAGAGTACTGAGAAGAATTACAGGAAATACGCTGAGAGATCGAAAGAGAAGTGAAGACATTAGAAGAAAATGTAACGTGCAGTGTATAAATAAATGGACACAAAATAGATAAAAAGAATGGAATAACCACATAAGCAGAATGGAAGAGACCATATAAGTCACCAATCGACAGAGGTATCGGACGACCGCGCAAAAGATTGACTAACCTTCCATAGTATTAGCCCGCCAATGAACAAGCAGAATTGCTTATAAAGTGGAAGAAGAAGAAGACGAACCATCGCTACAAAGGGTTGGTCTGCATATATTTCTCAATATTTTGCGCTCAAATATTCTCAATAGATTTTCATCAGTGGTTGAAAAGGTCCACGTTTCACATCCATATACCACTGGTCTAATTACTGTTTTGTAGATTCTAAACTATTCCATTATTCCATGTGGCAGAAAATCGAGAACCCTTCGTAATGGTAATCGCCAACGTCGGATAACTCTGATATGGCACGTGAAGAAGCACTTATTACCGCTAAGAATCTGTGCTTGTATTTCTTGACTGATGTTGTTGCTGTCATTTATTATTTAGCCTAGATAGGGAAAGCTGGAGGCATATTCATTGGTATGGTTATCTACCTTCAGATTCTCATGTCAATTCGACTTTGTGTGCTACATATATTTTGTTTTATATCTTTTTCGGTTAATACGCTTCTATTGCGGCTTATTATGGCAACATCATTTGCATATGCGCATATTTGAGTGGATCTTGTATTAGTAAAGCCGTTCATATCTAGTTTTTGATAATAGATGAATAAGTGTAGTATTCCACTTCCCCTCGGGGGGTAAGAACTGAAGAGAGAGGTATTAGGAAAAGTCTAGGGGTAGGACCAATTGATGCTAAAATGAGAGAGTATAAATTAAGATGGGTCGGGCATGTTTAAAGTCGAAACACCTAATATTTGGTACATACAGGATCAATTTTTTGAATGAAAGGGGTTTTTGAATCGTTTAATAAACTATAATGGCGGTTAACAGAAGGTTAAAATAAATACGATTTATCGAAGTTTTGTTGTGCTTAGTAAAGATCCCACGAAAAAGTGCCATGCACAATTCAAACTTAAACTGGAAAATTCAAAGCTATCAAATTATATTAGTTTATTAAACTAGAAAAATTTGACTCTGTAATCAAGTCGTTTCTATTTTTTCTGTAGGTTAGCAAAATACATAGTTCATTTAATAATACCTACACATTACATTATTAAAAATACTTTTATAATCTGTATATAAGTTGAATTTTCATACAAGTAAATGCTTTTGAGGTTTACTCATAATTATATAATTGATAAAAATAAAAAAAATACCATAAAATATACTGTTAACAACGCATTTCAACCACATTGAAGTAATTAATATGTCATCTAATTCAAAAGTTATCTCTTTAATGTCAAATAACTAACCGTGATATATGAATTTAATTTTACACTTATTTAATTATCATATTCCGTGTTTTATTACAGATGTACGGTGGTATGAGAGGAATCAAAGCCTTAGTAACGGAAACCTCAGTCCTCGATCCCGACGAAGGTATCAGGTTCAGAGGCCTTTCCATCCCAGAATGCCAAAACGTTCTCCCCAAAGCACCAGGCGGCAGCGAACCACTCCCAGAAGGTCTCTTCTGGCTTTTGCTCACCGGCGACGTACCTACCGATGCTCAAGCTAAAGCATTATCCAAAGAATGGGCCGAAAGGGCTGAACTGCCCTCACACGTCGTTCAAGTCTTGAACTCACTACCGACATCAGTGCATCCCATGTCACAGCTTTCCGCAGCTATTACCGTGATGAACAGCGAGAGTAAATATGCCAAAGCTTATGCCAGTGGAGTACACAAGTCCAAATACTGGGAGGTAAGTCTAATTCGCATTGATGAACCTTAAAAATGTTAATATAAATGTTTCTTTAGTGGTACTGTAGATTAAAAGTATTTATATCCTATGCAGGATCGCCACGGTCGAATTACATTTTCTTCTTGAATGTCTGCAACTTCTTTATTTCTTTTGTGGAAAGTTTTTCAATATACATGAACTATTCGAATATCTTGTTTTTTTCCCATTTTAGATACTTACTTGGTACTTGTGCTCTTGTGAATTGTATGTACCGCTTTTTTTCTTTTGGCTTAATAATTTCTAATTCATTTACAACTCTTTCATCTGATCTTTCTTTAAGAGAATAAATTATCTGCGTCTATTTTAGCAGAAAATTCTTACACCCTTTCATTAATGCTTCCAAGTTTTTTTCTCATTTAATTTTCTATTTTTTATTGTTGTTTTTCTTGTTTAAAGGTCCTTACTCTGGTTTTTATTGAATCCTTTTACCATTGAATTTATTTATTTTTTCCTACTATATCTTCTTAGAGTGCCGTCTCCCTACGGAGGTTGGCAATCATAATTGCTATTTTTATTTTTGAACTTGCTGCTCTAATCAATTCAATCGATCTGCATTGATACTGTTCAAAAAGGTGTACATATGTGGGAAATTATTAGTATAATTTCCGTGTATGTGGACTGTATTATATAGGGCTAGTTCAATAAAATTAGGATATGTAATAAAAGGTATACAGACAATAGCAAATTAAGTGTATAGAAAGTCTTACCAATATTTTTTTCTGCTCCACACTCTCACGGTTGTTTCCAGTTTTCACTCGTGGTTATTCTTCACCCGCGAAATCTGTCCGATGTACCGGTTTTTGGACACGTGTTTCGCAAATATATCACGATATAGAGCACACTTTGTCTGCACACGATTTAATACAGTATTTTCGATATTTCTCGCGTAACTAAAGCGGGAAAGAGGTAATTACGATAGAAAAACAGCCAAGATAGATGCTGTTCTTCTTGATAAGCGAAGAGAGAGAGAATGAAAGAGAGAGAGCGTCTGGCTCTATCGATGGCCAAACTAAGAGAGTTGAGAAATGGTCTGTCCTTAGCGACGGGCGACCATCAAGAGAGTTCTGTCCTTATCGACAGCTGATAATCAAGAGAGCATCTTTCTTCTTTGCTATCTTAACTGTCTGTATTTCTAATGGAGAGGGGGTAAAATGTAAGTAGGAAGGGTTATTAAGGGTTGGACTAAGATAATTATTGTAAAATTGTGATATAAGGACAGTTAATAATACAGCGAAAACATGACACGATTTTTCGCATGTGAGAAAATGAACAGATACCAATCACGTAGATTCTTCGACCATGAATTGTGCCTTCGGCTAACAGATCTTCCTTGAATCTTTCCCTGTATTATGAGTATCAAAATTTCATATTTTGGTCGCCTCATCACGTGGCTTAGGTATTCCAATTTTCTGGTTTGTATAGTGGTGATTAGTTCTGTTTCTTTACCAACCCTCTCCAGTACTTCTTTATTTGTAATTCTGTCAGTCCATGATGTTTTTAATACTCTGCGGTATAACCAGAATTCGATAGCCTCTTTTTAAATTGTATTTTTTCTTATTTTCCAAGTCTCAGTTCCATATAATAATATTGAAAATATAGAACAGCGAATTGTACGTAGTTTGATCTCCAATTTTAGATTTTTGCACGTTAGGAGTGGCTTCATTCGTATAATAGGCCAGGGAAATAAGCAAAAAAAGTACCCTGTTTTTGACACTCGTCCGGCCAGGCAACCGACAGTTGTTTTGAGTAGTGTGGACCTGTGTAATAAAAACCTATATGTTTCCTGCAGTCGATTTTTTGGACTAAATTAGTTATTAACAAATTAAGTTCAAAAAACGGAAAATTTTTGCTTTTTTCGGCTATCAGCAAAAAGTGAAGCAATTTAAACAAATTTTAGAAGAAAGGAAATTTATAAGTTATATAAAAACCTTCAAAATGGCGTTTTCAAAATGTTTCTATCCTTATTTGTTGCTTAGAAAGTTGCAAAATAAGTAAAAAATTTCGGTTTTTTATAAATGTTAATAACTTTTTTGAAAATAAACTTATAATATTTATATTTCATTAAATGATGTGTCTTGTAGTGCTTAAAATAGGGTAAAAATTTTAAAGTGATTGGTCCAATGGTTTTAAAGTTATTTTATTTGTTTATCCCAAATTAACATTTTTTGCAACAATATAAGTCAGAAATTTATACAGTTTTAGAAATTGCAAGGGTTGTTTCTGGTAGAAGAAGACTTGTTTTATTATTTACGTTTAAAAAAAATTAAGAAAATTAATTTTAAATATTGCAAAATAATTTTGCAAAAACATGTCGATTTTTTGCTTATAAACAATTACAATAACTTTTTAACCATTGACTGTAAAAATATTATTTTTACATATTTAAAAAGGTTGAATTTTTTCACAAATTTAAATAAAAAAAAGTTTGTCCTAAAATAATTTGGTACAAAGTTAGCCCCTTTTTTTATTTAATTCATAGCCCTTTGTTTATAACAATTAAGAAATCTAATTAGCGCTATTTAAAAGAATATACATTATAGTTTTAAACTACTAAATTTTAAAATTATTGCCCTTTAATGGAATCCTCCACAAAGCTTCAAAATATATGTAAAATCCGTCGGCTTTAAAACTCTCGGGAGTTGAAGGGAGGGGGAAGGCGCTGTTAACTGTATCTCTGTTCCTTTTTTATGTATTTCAACGTTTCTTTTTGAACTTGTATGTACTTTTTGCGTACATTAGGAATATACATTATTTCAATAAATAAATTGTCAAATAAACCACCTAATTTGTTTAAAAACAATTTTTTTTTTATTTTTTAGTAGTATTTAAGTTAAGTTTGAATGTAAAACAGAAGTACTTGTCATTTACTATATTTTGGGGAATAAGCCACAATTTAAGTTTATAATAAGTTTATTTTTGATGTTTCGATTTCTACTTCGGAAATGTTTCTCAGAATGCAGAACATTAATAAATTAATCAAATTTTATTTTTGGTTACTTAATAGAAAATTTTTCTGATAACTCTTTTGGGTGACTGATTAGTATGAGGAAACTCAGTACATCTGTTATGGTAAAAATTACAAAAAAAATTATTGACAAAAATTGTAGACAGCTTTAAACTCCACATTTTAAAATTAGTTACAATCTTACAGGGTGTTCTATAAGATTGGGGCAGACCAAACATATGTTTTTTTAATGAAACACCCTGTATTTTATTTTAAATTTGAAATCTGCTTCACTTCCACATCACAATAATGTAAAGTTTTATTATGTTATACCGGATATTTAAAAAGTTATAACCAATATTACCTGAAAATCGTATCAAGTTTAACTCACTGTATCATTAAAAAGGAGTATAGGACCATTGATCTATTGCAACCATAGTTTTTAAATAATTGTTAAAAATTGTAAAACATATTCGTTTTCATAATATTCGTTAATTCAAATACAGGGTAAGTCAAAATGCAAGTATTTTAACTCACTATCGAAAAGTACTAATATCGTACTTTACATTTTATGGAATACTCCCTATACCTAAAGTTATCAATTTTCTAGATAAGTATTAATTTGGTAATATTTAAACTTTTACCAATAATTATTAGGAGTTGGCCATGATTGATTTGTCAGAAACCGACCGTTTCACATTATTGTTTTTTAATTCAGTAACGAGATAACGACACAGAAAAGAAAACAATTTGTTTCAAATAAAATTTATAAAAAATAACCGACAGAAAATAAAAAAAAAATAACAACACATAAAGAAATAAAAAACAATTGTAATTTTAACTAATCATACTTAAGCAAGGTGTTCAAAATGACCTCCCAAAACATCTATGCATACTTGAAAGCGGTCATTGAAACAGTTACTTACATTACTAAGCATTTGTAAAGAAATATTTTGAAAAGCAATTCGAATTCTATTTTTTATATCCCTTGTTATTGAAGGTATTTTATATACTTCGTTCTTAATGTAACCCCAAAAAAATGAGTGCACTTTATTGAATTCTGGTGACCTTGGGCCACCTCTTAAGATCCATCTTTCACCAAACTGATCATTAAGTTCACCACGTACTAATTCGTTGTGGTACGCAGAAGCACCTCCATGTAGAAACCACATTTGTTGACGTATATTAAGTGGAACCTCTTCTAATAATATTGGTAACTGATGTACGATAAAATCTAAATAAATCTTACCATTTACGTTATGTTTAAACAAATATGGTCCTACTGCATGGTTACCCACGATACTTCCCCACACATTTAAAGATTATCTTGTTTGACTATATGTTACTATTTGGTATGGATTACGTGTTGAATAGTAGTGAAAGTTATTTATGCCTATTAACAGAACCGTTTCAGTGGAATGCAGCTTCATCACCAAATATGATATAATCAAAAAAATCTCTGTTCATTAATTTTTTTTAAGGCCCATTCTCAAAATACTATTCGTTTCTGAATATCATCATAATTTCATTCTTGGTGCTTTTGAATATAATATGGGTGCATCTTGTTTTTAGATAGAATGTTTTGAAAAGAGTAATAACTAAGTTCTTGCTTATTGGAAATAATCCTTATACTTGTGAGTGGGTTTTCTATAACTGCCATCAACACACTCAGTTCGTTTTCCTCTCTCACACAAGTTTTTTTTGTTAAAAAAGGTTGTGCGGTTAAATAAATCTTTCATTTTGTCAAATGTATCTTGTCTAGGTTGCCGCCTATCTGGAAACCGTTCTAGCTGATAGTAATGAATTTTTATTGTATTCCCTCAATATCCAGATCATATTTATTTATCATTTCATCAGTAGTAAAATTCATTATTGCTAATTTAAATTGAATAAATTATTGAATTGCTAAATAATAATTGTTGCTAATTTACGATGTACCCCAATACTGAATTAATAAACAATAATGTCAAACTGTCAGTTTCTGACAAATCAATAATGGTCAACTCACAATAATATT